TATAAATTCATGTAAGCAACATCATTTGTAACACACGGTTGATACGAAATAAAAAAGCAGAAATTACAAGCAAACTACGAGCATTTCGAAGCATTTTGTAACTATTTCGAGAAGCAATAAAAGGTAAAAATCTTACCTTTCATCGATCGATGCTTGCATGTGGGATTTGTTTTGATTTTCCATCATTTTGGTTCGAAAAATAACAAGTTTTTTTCGAATTTTCTTCTTTAGATCTATATTTCCTCAAAGGGTTTTTGAAAAAAATAGATTTGATATTCGAAGAGAGTGAAGAAAAATATTTGGAAAAATTGTAAATTTTTTACTTTCGCCGTCGATGACTGGCGATCGACGAGGCGACGTGGGGCGGTCAGATTCTTGGTTCATCAAGAACCCAGCCGAGTTCTTCCCCCTTGAAAACACTTGAGAGAGTGTTTTATAGAAATAAGGGAGCTTGGGTTTAAAATGGAACAAATGAGAGTTTAATTTTTTTAAACTTATATAGTTAGCCCACGGATCGACCCATAACCTGACCCAAATCACTTCTTACCCGCGTGTTTTAAAGGGTAAAGGGGTGAAACCCCTTTCTGTTCCCTCTCTATTTTTAATGTCTAATTTGAGCCCCTGAATCGATTTTAATCGCCTAATTGCTTCGAAATCTGTCTCTCGATTTAATTTTCCTTTCAATTTGGTCCCCTAGCATTTTGATTTATTTATTTCATTTTTATTTTTATTTTATATGTATGTATATATTATATTTTTTTGTATTTTATTTTCTTTAGTATTAATAATATGTATATACATATATAGATATTTTTCCCTTTACTTATTTAGTGTTTATATGTACATATTATTTTTTTATTTTTCCTTTATATCAATTTTAGTCATTTATCTTCTTTTTTTTTCATTTTTTTTATATCATTTTACTACTATTTTCCTATATTTTGTTTATGTCATTTTTAAACATTTTTTTTTTTTTTAAATTTTTTTAAATTTATTTATTATCTTTCTTTATTCTTTATTATTATGTTCTTTTTCTTTACTCATTTTTATCCTTTTATTTCATTGGTTTCTTATTTATTTGTTTTTATTACCTCTTTTTATCTAACGTGTCTCTTGACCTTTTGAGGATGATTTCAAATCGATCTAAGGTAAGTAATTTAGGATCATATTTTTAACTTTTAATTTAAACTTTCAATTTTTTAATCAAAGACAACTGGAAATTACGTAGTACCGAAATGGCGGTTCAAGGGTGCTAACCCTTCCTTGACTGTAACCGACACCCGAATCCGAAACATCTTTGGTAAGACACATATCATGTAAGATGGTGTCCGACACCTAAATTCATTTAAAGTAGTCGGTGGCGACTCCTAATCCATTTTCTAAGTTGAAACCCAATTTCGGGGCCCAACCGAAAGATCGACAGTATCATATCAATCGATTTCACATGTCATACCAACATTCCATTAAAGTAATAATTGTTAACAATGAGTGATTGATTTATCATAAATTGATAACATTAATGACCAAATTATCATTTTTAAAACATCTATGATAAAAAAAAAGTAATTTACTCAAACATATGTAGACATTCATATAGATTACCCTTTTCTTTTTTCTGTCCACACTAAAGGAGGTATTTTATCTATTTATTCACCAGATTTATCAAAAACAAATTATTTATTTTTTCTGTCCATGTATAAGAGGACGCGTGGCTCATTTGAATTGTCGGATATGCCCCCAACTCTGGGTTCTTTTCGCGGTCGGTTACTCGATTTTGCAGACAGGGATGTATCTAAGCCGCTTATATGAAAACAGAGCCCATACGGCTTCGAAAACAAGCCCAATATACCATTTAAAACGTTGGCATGTAATAAGCATGAAGTTTTTTTTCTTTCTTTCTTTCATTTTCTTTGGAAAATTATTTCATCTACCGGTTAGGTTCATGAAATTAGATTCAATATCTTGTTATTGATTAAATCAGTGTAACTTGATTAGTTTAAATCGATCAATTTTGTTAATTAAAACATGTTAATCATGTCAATTTTCAGTTTTTATGTCATTAATTAAATTAATAAATTTTATATGAATATATTAAACGATGATTATTTGACATATGGTTAATGTGGATTCCCCCCCCCCACAAACAATATTCGAATTACGACACGTGTTATTGTAGAAAATTGAAGGATGAAAAATATACAAGTATAAACACTTGCCATCATTTAAAAAATGGATCAAATATATGATCCGTATATAAACTATAACAAAATTTTCAATGTCATACATATGGTTTTATCTTAATTATATATATATGAGGTTTTATGTTGTCAACCATTTTGTCTGTTGTTATTATGAATCTAGTGTGCAACAGTGGATCACTCAAAAAATGTCTATTTATTTAAGATATAATTGTAAAACTAAACTTTAATGTTTTATAATTTTTTTCAATTTTACCATGAATTGTATTAAATTAAAAAAAAACTGAAAATATTCTTCCTCGTCTCTATCGCACCACCATCTCTCCACAACCCTTTGAATTCTAATTGATCATCGATAATAATGAATTGAGATTGTGGTTACCAACACTTGACATGGTTGGACTCCAACATTTGGATTATTTTAATGGCCATAAAGCTCTCCTACCTGACATGATTAATAATTTTGTTCATAGAATGTTGTTTAATGATAATTTGATTGTAGGATTTAATTTTATTTTCGATTCTAACTAAGTTTCAAATAGTTAACATGGTATTTTTGGTCTATCTACAACAAAAATGAATAAATGTATTACATTTATTGACCTTAGGGGTTAAGTTTAATTGATTTTATAACTAGACCGAAGTTTGTATTATGTTTTAAGTCAATACATGTTATTTAGACGTTTAAATTATGTTAATTGCTAATTGAGTTGTGATAAATACAATCAAATTCTTTTATTATAGTCTTGTAAGATATATGATAATTCAATCGAGTACGTAAATCTTGAATCCTTTAGTGACTCCTTAAATAATGAAGAGAAACAACAATCGTCGAACTCTCTAAACGATTAAAACCAACTTAATTTCCTACCTCTTGTCCTTGTTGCGTATTTGCCTTTAACACATGTTATTTTTTTAGGACATGTCAAGAGTCATCAAATCTAATGTTTCAATTGCAATGTAGAGATTTTTTTCTTCGAATGCTTTGTTCGATAAGCTTTTTGAATATCAAGTTTATACCTTTATCGACCTAGATGATACTTATCTCAAGATAGTTGAGTATTGGCCTTATAAGACTCTAAAGATCTTGACAAAATTATGATATTTATACTATCAAAATCTTAAATGTGTCATTACCCTAATATTTGATGAAGTTCTGGATTTTTCGAAAATTAAATTTGGATTATAATGACTTGAATTTTCGACTCAATTCACTTAGAGTTATTGACCGAGTATGATTAGATTTGTTAGGTAAAGAATAACACATTCAAGGGATAAAATGGCCTAATTAGCCATAAAAAATGTATTTTTTAAATCTTAATGGTAGTTATCATTAATTCAACTAGAGTTTATCAAAACAACTCCTTTATCATCTAATTATTTTAAAATTAACTCCCACGATTTTTTCTAATATTAGATGATTATATGGCCATATTGTCCGTTACTCAGTTTCCTTTGCGGAGCACGTGGACGAACTTTACCTCCTGATCCTTTTGCATCACCGTCGTAATGTGATAACCCACCATTAGTTCTAGTTGCATATGGTCCTTCCTTTGCAAGTTCTTCCATACTTCCCTTTTGTCCACCTTAACTATTATTTTCCTTGCACCTAATTTCCATGTTTCGTTTATTACTTCGAAGACCCCCACATCTCAACCTCTAGAATCGAGCATGTACCAATCAACTTGTGAAAACCCAATCTCTATCAGCTTCTCTCGTCCCTTATCACTCCTCCATAGGATGTCAATCTGATTGAGTTGTCTTTCACACCATATGTGTTTAGTTTGAGCCACCTTGACGGGGGTGGTGTCCATCTCGTTTTCTCGTTTTCTGCCCTTCAACAGTATGTAACTCCTCCGTTGCGTTAGCCCTACACCTACAAGTCTCTGCTACTAGATGTCTGCTACGCTTCAGTACAAATTCTTTTTCGATATTTTATGAGTCAAAAATTTGTTTATTCCTCTGGATCCATAAGTTCCATAGAATGGCCCCCGAAAAGAATATCCCATGATTCCCAAACTCTTACAAAATGCGAGGGAAATCATAAGCTAAAATCATATTTAATTACCACAATTTCCATAGAATGTGTAGTCTTCGAATTTCTCATACATTAGGTGATAATGAGAAATTGTGATAATTAAATATATGATAGATTGAAAAATCATATTTAATTGTCACAATTTCCCATGCATTAGGTGATGGTATATATTATTAAACTTCTTTTTTCTTAAAAACCAATTTTGAATTTTTCACTGAAATTAATTATCATGATAGCCAAATTATGTTGTCATATATATTTAACTTGATGTCAACTATAATAAGAGTCAAATTGAAGTAATTATTATACAATCATGGATCTTAAGAAAGTATTTTTATCCAACAATTTAAACCAATATAATTAATGAAGAATTCAACTCTGTTCATAATTGAATTTGCCATAAAAAAAAGGAAACATATTTCGGACTTGATATTATTTCATGGCTAAATTAAGAATTAATGTGTTTTTGGCTTATATTTGAAAAAGAACCCTAATTTTTGCGGCATTAACAATATATTTTACAAATACTGTCTTCTAATTCCAAGTTTGAAAAGAAGAAAAAGCGGGAAACTAAAAAAGTTTGTAAATGGCGACCAGTTTATTCCAAAATACCCAATCTCGCTACTCATTGGTTCATTCAAAAGCACACGGATCAACCTAAAATGATCAACAACCGTTGATAAGTTCTCAATCTAACGGTTACTGTTTTCCTCTCTTTCCATTCCACCTAAACCACTGCTATAAAGATGCCAACGTCGCGATACTTGGTACCACGTTTTGTTTTAAAGCTGAAAGTTTACATTTCTTAAAGCATAAGCGTTATTTCCCCACATCTTTCTGAAGCAATGGACGCCGGAGCAAAAGTAAAGAAAGGCGCTGGAGGAAGGAAAGGCGGCGGTCCAAAGAAGAAGCCAGTTTCAAGGTCTGTCAAAGCTGGGCTCCAATTCCCCGTCGGAAGGATCGGGCGTTACTTGAAGAAGGGAAGGTATTCACAGCGTGTCGGAACCGGAGCTCCGGTTTACCTCGCCGCAGTTCTTGAGTACTTAGCCGCCGAGGTAACTGAAGGATAAATTAAGTCATCTAATGAGTCGATTGCTATTGTTATAATTTGCAGTTTATAACTCAGATTTGGAAATTTGAACCCAGGTTCTCGAGTTGGCTGGAAACGCAGCACGTGACAACAAGAAGAATAGGATCATACCAAGGCACGTGTTGCTCGCTGTGAGGAATGACGAAGAACTGGGGAAGCTTCTCTCTGGTGTTACAATCGCTCACGGTGGCGTTTTACCGAACATTAACCCCGTTCTTCTCCCAAAGAAGACTGAAAAGGCTGCATCTAAAGAACCTAAATCTCCATCGAAGGCCACTAAATCTCCGAAGAAAGCTTGATTTTTCTCCTTTGTTAGATGAGTGGATTTTGTTTGGATTGGTTGATGGGTGAAAGCTTGATTTAATATGTTTAGATTCCCATTTGCTTCAATTCAATTGAAATGAAACTACTTGTTTCTGTTACTTACATTTTGTTGATGATAAGTAGTTAATTTAATGGAATGGATGTTAGGTTTTTTTTATAAATAAAATTTAAAGTTGAAAATTTGATATTTTGAATCAATTAAATTAAAAATAATTTTTAAAAATAATTTCTCGAGTATTAATTAATTAATTTGGTATTAGTAAATAAAAAAATGTTATTTCATCCTTTTTCATTTTTGCTTTTTGGGATTTTTGTATTGTGTAAGATGCTTTGTTAATGAAATTTAAAATTTAAAGCTGATTTTTGTTGTTTGGTTGAACATGCTTGAGATGTGATCCTTTATACCATCCTACGGCATTTAATATTCCCCGTTTTAATAATGAAAGTAACTATCAGAGCCGACACTAACGACGCCGTTTTCCCCTAAATCTAAAAGAGCATGTATCTGGAAATTACAGCGGAAGGTGTTGCCGAATCCAGCAAGAATATTAGTGAATAATTGTAGGATCCAAAATGGCTTTAAGCAATTGATAATAAGATATAATCAAGAACAACGCCTGTATGGTTCTGTACAATGTTCTCATATTTCATTGTTCAGAGCTTCAAGCTTTTAAGTTGTTGAGTTTTCCCGCGCGGTTCTTGTAACTGAAAAAGGACCTTATATGATCTCATTTTGTCTACATAAAACCCATCCAAGCATTGCAATTACTTCTCTTTGTAAAACCCATTCTACTAGTTCATAACTGCAAAGAAGTTACAATCAAGAAGCTCTGTTTCCTTTTTCTCCATTTTCCGTATCCCTCTCAATTTGGGTGGTTTCTTGGACTCAACTGCAATCTCTCATCAACCCCAATGGAGAACAACGCAGTTACGTTTCCCACGAATGCTCAAACTCGTTTCTACCTGTGCCGTTCTTGCAATAACCACGTCCTCTGCGGGCACGATATCATTGACGTCGCAACTGTAATTACTCTCCCTTTCTCTCTCATCTCTTTTACTGCCCACGTTTCAGTTCTTGGATGTGTTACTTTAAGCTTAAAATGAGGCTGAAGATTGCTACTTGTGTTAACATCTCTGACAAGACTTGCTCACTATTTTTACTTTAAATTAAATTTTCAGTCAGGAGACACTGTTCAAATTTACTCCCGCAATCCGTAAGATCTTCGTGTTTCTTTAACTATCAACTTAATTGCGCTTCTTTTACTACCGCACTTTATATCGTAATCTTTATGTTTGATCGATGTGAAGTGTCAATGTGCGGTACGAACCTTCGATTGCCCCTTTGTTTTATCGTTTTCTGCCATGCGGGCGTTCGTGGGGCCTGGGCCAGTCTAATTTCTCTTGTCATTCCTATCCTGTGACATCGACCACCGTACATTGCAATGTATGCAACAGATACCTTGGGCGTAGACAGGTTAATCATGACTTTCAACTCGAAAAGTTGATTCATTCTAAAATTAAACTCCAAACTTTTGTGCACTATTGAATAAGATTGATTAGTTTTTCTTTTTGTCTTTCATTTAGATTTTTCAACCTGTGATTAGCCCTCGGTCTTCCCTCACTCTGATACCGAGGAGGAGGAGGACTATGTTGAGTTTGTGAGTTCTTTTTGTTTTCTTTTTATTACCCTGTTTTCATCAAATAGTAATACTGTATTCTATTCCGAAACAATGCTATTAAAACGAAATAGAGAGGTTGTTTTCTGAATGAAAATGGCGGCCTGCAGGGACCAGTTACTGTTTTGGAACGGGACTCAGATGGTTTATGCTGACACAGAGCAGCCTGTCGATCAGAATCCACCGGTAGTGGAAAACGGACACATGGATTGAAGTAAAAGTTCACTAAGAAAGTAATTTCTACAGGAAAACAATTGTTGCTGGTTTTTTCTTTTTCATTTTGGCCTCCATTTTTAGTTTGGAACTTTTTAAGCTTCTCCGAATTGTAGTATAATAGCTGTGGGCTTTGGTAGTTTGCATGAGATTCTGCTGTTAAAACAAGGATTTTACAGATAAAGCCAATATTTTTTTTGCTGGGGAACTAATTCAAGCCAGCATCTTTGATGTTCTTGGAAATATAGTTTTACATTTGTTTTAGTATATAATAATCGGTCGCTTTTACTGCTTTATTTTGTCTTTCTTCCTTATAAAGCTTAATACTATGGATGTATTTTGACAATAGTTTTTGGACTTAGAACTAATTATATGGTTATGCATTGAAGATCATGTAATTGTCTCACATGCAAGTCACTGCTTGTCTAGAAGATTAATTAGTTCTTGGCTTAATTAACTAGCATATTGATGCGGCAAGACAAGGTAAATGCTTAAGATATAATAATAACAGTGATGATCTTTGACTTTTTCATTAAGAAGCCTTGCTAATAATTTATTTTACTGGTATCTTGTGAGAGATTGCCGGGGCCAAAATAGTAGCCTACTTGTGATTTATGATCCCATACTCTTTTTTACGGCAACGGCAACAGAAAAAAAAACAATTTTTTTAATTTTAATCCCTCCATGTCTTTAAACTTTTGTCTTGTATTCTGATGCCTATATAATAAGCACTTTACGACAGTAATATTGCAACTCAGCCTACATCGCTGCACTATTCTACTTTTTCTAAACCAATGGAGTTTTCTAAGCTTTTCATTGCCCTTTTCATTTTTCAAGTTTTCTTCCCTTGCAACATGTCAATCCAAGCAGCTCCTGCAAATTCGAACCTCTTCCGAGAATACATAGGAGCTGAATTCAATAATGTCAAATTCACTGATGTTCCCATTAGCTCAAACGTTGAGTTTCACTTCATTCTGTCATTTGCCATAGACTATGACACCTCAGGCTCTCCTTCTCCTACAAATGGGAAGTTCAATGTCTTTTGGGACTCTGATAACCTTGGTCCTTCCCAGGTTTCTTCCATCAAGAGCGGCCATTCAAATGTTAAAGTAGCTTTAAGCTTAGGAGGGGACAGTGTGGGAGACGGCTCTGCTTATTTCAAACCTTCCTCTGTAGATTCCTGGGTTTCCAATGCGGTTTCTTCACTCACAGATATCATTCAACAATACAACTTGGATGGGATTGATATTGACTATGAGCACTTCAATGCTGACCCCGACACTTTCGCTGAGTGCATTGGGCAACTTATTAAAACCCTCAAGAAGAACGGAGTCATCTCTTTTGCTTCCATAGCTCCATTTGATGACGATGATGTTCAAAGCCATTACAAAGCCTTGTGGAAAAGCTATGGTGACCTCATAGACTATGTCAATTTCCAGTTCTATGCCTATGATCAAGGAACAACAGTCTCTCAGTTTATCAATTACTTCAACACCTAAAGCTCTAACTACAACGGCGGTAACGTTTTAGCCAGCTTTATAAGCGATGGTAGTGGTGGCTTGACACCGGAAAACGGCTTCTTTACCGCCTGCAATAGGCTCAAGAGTGAGAACAAACTCCATGGTATATTTGTTTGGTCTGCAGATGACTCAAAGAAAAATGGTTTCCACTATGAGAAGCAATCACAAGCTCTGCTTGCAATTTCCCACTAGTGTTTTTATGTTATCTACTTTTTTAAAAGCTCTGAATATGAGTTAAACACATACATTAGGGGATGTAATGTATATGTATTGACTTTTGTTGTATAAATATATACCAGATATCTGTTGTGTCACCCTATTAGTACCTCAAATTTTGTTTTGCTATGGGTTTAATCAAACACTTGCTTCACAATAAAAATAGTATATAAACCTTGCGAGCACATGTAGTTCATTAGTTGGGCATCAATCATACGATCGGTTTTGAAGCTTTTCACTAAGAAACTTGAATCAAGCGTAGAATGACAATGGATACTATTTGTTCTATTTGTGCTCTTATGAAGAGGATATCGATCATGTTCATATGTCCTATTATCCAGCATAGGCTACATGATCAAGGGTGGTCAAACCCTAGCGTTTAAGGAGCTTATGAAAATGGAAACAAAGGCCTGGGTTCATACAAGTGTTTGTCGCACCGAAGGAATTATGTGCTTTTTGATGCTGAGTTCGTTGAGCGTGACAGTGTTCTTGTTAGAAGTAGACAACTCCAAGAGGAAGTGTTGAGTATGCAAAGCAGCTTGATGACCATGAACAGTAACAAGAGTCGGTTGAACTCGTTTGTTGTCAAGTGGAGTGCCCCTGAGTCGGGGTAGTTTAAACTAAATGTCGACGATGCGGTGAGGACTGATAAGAACGAAGCGATTGCCGGTGGAATAATCAAGCATCACAACGGTTATTGGGTGGCGGGATACGCAAGATTTTTCGGCAAATGCTCTGCATTAGAAGCTGAGATGTAGGCTGTGTACGATGGTATAATGTGTGCCTGGGGCGAAGGATTGCGCAACGTTATAGTCAAAACTAATAACATTGGCAGTAGCTGAATTACTGCAGAAGCAAGATAACAAAATAGGATATTTACTTGCAATTGTCACTTTCAATAACTTTAATATTCTTCTAGCGATTGTCACTTTATTGCAGCATACCTTCTTTTACAAGTCTTTAATTTCACGAGCATAATTCATGATAATAGATTTTCTCGAAATTTAAAATAGATTCATAATTGTTTCATGATAAGTCTCGAACTATAACTTTATAGTTGAAAGTTTGTAAGTAAAAAATATAATCAACGCAATATCAAAACAAAATATCTCTTCACTAAATTTATAACTTTTGTATAAATAAAACTAAAAATCATTTTTCAAAAAAAAAAAAAAAAACCCTAAGAAATACATTTCTTCCCAATTTCTTATTCTAACAGCTAAACCTACTACTCATTTATGAAGTTTATTATTTAATCATCAAGAAGCCTTATTTACTCAGGTCCTTAGCTTTAAGCTTTCAAGTTGTCGTTGTGTTTTCCCGCGCGGTCCTTATAACTGAAAAATGAAGTTATATAAAACCCATTCAAGCATTGCAATTTCTCTCCCAATTACTTCTCTTTGTTAAACCCATTATTGACAAGTTGATAACGGCAAAGAAGTTGCAATCAAGAAGTGCAATCTTTCATCAACCCCAAGA